TTATTATTATTATTATTACTATTATTATGGATTTTTCAGACATGGCCTCGTTATGTAGCCCAGGTTGGTATTAGTTATCCAAATTACAGACACACATGATTAGTTGTTATTTTAACTGCTTCCAAACATGGGAATAACTGCTAAGTTGTTTTAGTAATTCAATGTAATATAAAGTCATAGATATAACAATTTAAAAACTATCTAGGGAGATGGATGTGATACATTTTAGAAATGTTTAGAGCCTACTGATGTATGCCACTTTTGTAACCCACTACATTTTCTTACTAACTTACCTGTCTTTCTTAGACTGTATGCATCAAAGGTATTATCTATTTTATTTCTATCTATTTATCTAGACCTATAGATAGTTCCTGATATATCTGAATAATATCCTGTCAAGTATATTATTGGAAAAACAATTATACTGTTTTCTTGGCTGCTTTATATTGTTATCCAGATTCTGCAAACCTAGAGACCATTAGCAAGAATAACCATAGAGAGAAGCCAGCAATATACCTACGACTAGTTGGATAGTGAGTCTTCTCTCCAAATATATTAGCAATATCTTTAGAAAAGTTTCTAGTCACATTCCATATACACAGACATTTACATGTGGAAATGTATAGCATCAAGTAAAAGAATGACTTTCATTACATATGAAAAATTATTTACAACCCTGTTTCCTTAGACATTCTCAATTTGTTTTTATTCTATCTTATCAAACAGCCAAAGAATCTACCAAAAATGAAATTGGAAGCTCATGACAGCCTACATTCTAATCACTTATGTAGCTGGATTACTGATCAAGGATGAGCAGTAGTAAGAAATCTCCATTTTAAAACGAGGATAGGAGTGGTGTGGTGTAGTGGCTCATGCCTTTAATCCCAGCACTCAGGAGGCAGAGACAGGTAGATCTCTGTGAGATTTAGGCCAGCCTGGTCTATATAGCCAGCTCCAGGCCAGCTGTAGCTATAGGGAGACCTTATCTCAAATTTTTTTTAAATAAAATAAGCAAAATAAAATAAAACGAGGCCAGATGTGCCAGTGAGCGATTCTCCTCATTGAGCAATATGAACTCCTTTCCATTTACTCAAGTTTCTGCTTTTACCTGCAAATTGTTTTTCTCAAGACACTAATTTTAGGGCTTGGTGTGTAGCTAAGTTGGTTGAATGCTTGCCTAGCGTGCTGGAAGTCCTGGGTTCAGTTCCCAGCACCCCATGAAACTGGGAATGTTGGCACAAGTCTGTAATCTCAGGAGGTAGAAAGACAGGGAATCAGAAGGGCAAGGGCATCCTCAGCTACAAAGGGAGTTCAAGGTCATCCTCAGCTACAAAGGGAGTTCAAGGTCATCCTCGGCTACAAAGGGAATTCAAGGCCAGCCTCAGCTACAAAGGGAGTTCAAGGCCAGCCTTAGCTACAAAGGGAGTTCAAGGTCATCCTCAGCTACAAAGGGAATTCAAGGCCAGCCTCAGTTGCATGAAATTCTGTCTCAAAAATTGCTAATTTTGAAATTTGATTTTTTGCTTGTGTGACCAAGTATCATGATGTTAAGAAGCAGTTTGCAGAGGTGATGTGTTATGCCAACAGCCAGACAGGAGACTGAACACATTTTCATGCTGAATTTGACGTGAGATATTTTTGCCAGAATGCTTGATTTTTGGATTTTGCATGTTTTCATACTGAAAGAATGGATTTTCATTGGAAGAACAGGTTTAACATTAATTATGAGGTCCTGAGCATTACTAATAAGACAGGGAGTATTTTCCTAAGCAGATATAGGAATTAAGGATTATTATTTAGAATGCTACATGTTTTCTTTTGATCCGTTAGTCATCTGCCACTTTATGGTGGGTAGGAAATGAAAGTGACATGTACAGTTTTGAGAAACAGTTAACCTTGCTCTTGATAACATACCGTGTCACTGAAGAGTAAATGATTCACCAGCAGACTACTGCAATTCCTATCAGGTATACTTTTGGTTTTATTGCAAGATATACAATAATATATACAATGCATAATTATCCTCTAAGGAATGATATGAATAATATACATTGTAGTAAATAATACATGAATATACTTTTTTTTAAAGAGAAGACAGTGGTCTTGGCCCAAGCCAATTTATACCCTTCTGGGTGGGTATTTCATATTGATGCTGAATCATCCAAACCACTCTCGCTTGGAAAGTAAATCTTGATGAATGGACACACAACCTTGTCACAGCTTTTAAAGTGTTTTCTTTTAAAATCAGACAATATATTCCTCTCACTTTATGTCCCAGTATCAAATAGAACACCTACAAATTGTTGGATAAAAGTTGAACAATTACTAATTCGCTACTATATCAATTACAAAATGAAACCACTTTCTCAAAAAAAAAATCCTTGATTTCTTTCTAAATGATTCCCCACTCACAAAAAACGTTGCCATAGAGTGGGCAGATGGAGCCGCCATGGACAGTCTCAAGGTTAGGGGCCTGCTGTTCTGGTCTCACAGACAAAGCACACACGGGCTTGTTTGCCTGATGGGAGCTCAGGAACCTCAGGAGAAGGGAGCCACCTGAAACTTAGAAAAGAGTGTTGTTCGCGATGATCAAAAACAGCAGTGTGGTCACCGTGTTGCAGCAGCACACACATGCACATTTGTGAAATGCTCTATACCTCCCCACACACACCTTTAGACTTTAACAATGAAGCACATTTGTATAAATGGTATTTTTCTTACTCTGTGTGATTCTCTTCATCATTCTTTAAAGCAGTGCCCTAAAGTGACTGGCATCTATGCTTCTCTTCCAATCTGGTAGTCACCTAAGTACACTTGGCAAGGCTACTTATCTCCTTCCTTGGGATACAAACTTACATATTAATGGATTCAGGAAAGGCAGGTAAAGGTTCAGACCTTGATAATGGCAATCAATTCCAGGAGAGCATATGGAATGCTAATTTAAAAAGAGTCTTAATCCCAGCACTCGGGAGGCAGAGGCAGGTGGCTCTCTGTGAGCTCAAGGCCAGCCTGGTCTATATAATGAGTTCCAGGCCAGCTGGGGCTACAGGAGACCCTATCTCAAAAAGACCAAAAAAAAAAAGAGTCTTCTAAAATTCCATGCTGTGTTGGTGTGATATTGCCACTGTATTTTTTTCACCAGGATCTCCTGCATTTCACTATGCTATAGAATCTTTTCTGTACCTTCTTTCAGTAGGCCTCATTCTTGGAATTACACTACAAATATAGATGTTTGTCTTATATAATAGCCAAGATCTTTTTAAACTCTTGGGTTAATGTCAACCACAATTTAAGCCATTCTTGTGTACATTCAGTTTTAATAATACAAGGATGATCACTGTCTCTTAACAAGGTTGTTCCCTGGGCTAGTGGATGGCTCAGTGAATAAAGGCACATGCCCCAATGATGCAAGCCTGAAGAGCTGAGTTTGATACCCAGAACCTATGCAAAGGTAGAAGGAGAGAACAGATTCTACAAAGTTGTCCTCTGATGTCCACATGTGTGCCTTGACGTGTGCACATACACTATAAAGATAAATAGAACACTTTTACAGAGGCCCATGCCCACTCTCGGGCATGTACTCTTGTTCTCATTTCTTTTTTATATATCTCTCTCTCTCTCTCTCTCTCTCTCTCTCTCTCTCTCTCTCTCTCTCTCTCTCCCCCCTCTTTTAACATCCATGCTTAAATCTACATTAATTTTTAGAATAAATTCCAACTTTGCATCATAAGAAGACTTAAGGAGCATCTAGGCATTTCAGTGAAATTTAGGAAATATTAGAAAGAGCACTTCATTTTCATTAAGAAAAATCTCTGCCAAGTGACCTTATGCCCTTCTAGTAAGTGCCATAAAAATCTGGACTGGAGATAAGCTTGGTCATATTGAACCTCTGCAGCCACATATAAAACCTTCATGCAGGCTGGTGTCTCCAGAAATAGAAGCTCATGGTGAGCAGAAGTCAGACATAGCCATGTCTAAAGTTATCCAGGTCCACACATTAGATGTTCTATTGAATCCTGACAGGTGCTGCCCTCCCTAATAATGCACAACCTTAGAAATAGGTGTTATTTCTAAATTATCCTTTTCTTCTTCCAAGGCAAATTACAAAAGAATTACACCTGAAACCATGAGTTTTAAGGGAAAGAAAGGGGGAATTTATATATCATCTGGAAGTTTTAACAAAATTACCCTAAACGTGCTGCCCAGGACACTGTCCTCAGCAGGCATGCCCGTAGAGAACGCAGTGCCAGCTGTGCTCAGACACTGGTACAGGTACCATTTCCTTACTCAGCACACATTTAGAAACAATTCTACTTCCTGTGGGAAGTTACAAAATAGTATCTCAAGATTCACATCATCAAAACAGCTTCCCCTGCATGAATTGAGACTCTGGGAACAGCTATTTTATATATATATATATAAACAGATGCCATAGAAATCTAGATTATGCCAAAGCTATGCCTTCAAGTGAATCCAGAGTTTGTGGGTTTGTTGATAAGCAGTGTTAAAGGGGTAAACGATGTTGGGGGGATCCAGGAGAAATCACACCATGACTGATTCTTAGACCACAGTTTGTGTTACAGCAAAATGTCTCAACTTTAACTCTTCACACCTTGAGAGGAATCGCTAATGCACCTCTGAAGAGCTTCCTGGCTGGAAAGGAAGCCTATTCCTTATTTACACATAGATTATTATTTACCGATGGAACTATACACACATTGCGTGGTATTTGAGCTTCTTAATATCAGTGAAAGTGTGTTCTATCAGAAGATTATTTACTTGACTAGCATGCTAAAAATAGAAATCTTAAGTAGCAACTGCAGTTTTCAAGATATTCAACACTGCTTTCACATGTCTAAACAAGTTCACAAATACCGAGATGATACTCTATACTTTTGTAAGTGTCCAGCATCCCAGTTTTGAGCCCAGGTGCTGCATAAGCAGGATTTTTCTCCACACGACTGCAAGAAACACGTCCACCTTGCAGTAAGTGAGCTGGATACAAGCCTGGAAACAGTCTTACATTTTTACAGAGGTTGTTGCTGTTGGTGTTAAGCATACAGATCAAATGTCCAATAAGCTCTGGAACTAATGGTTTTGTTTTGCTTTGCTTTTTCCTTTTACTTTTTTCCAGAGCATTGGAACAATGTTGCATAGGATGGCCACAACAGATGGAGATTAAACTAAATCAAGGAAACCAGGGGAGGTTTCTCTCTGTTTGTCAGAGGGACCGAGATTAGATTGGCTCCTCTGGCCTAGAAAATAGGTACATTTGTGGCCAGGATGGTCTGGGCTCTGTCCTTCAGCCTTGCTGCCCCACACACTGGATCACTAATGCAGCCTGCATCTGTTGACTTCAAACCATGAAATTTCTCAGTTTATTAAATACCCCATCTTTCCATTTCAGACTGCAGTGGTAATCTGGGTTAAACCAAGATCATTGAACTCTTCTCGTCCCAGAGAACTGTAAGAAGACATCTCCACGACTAGTCATACTGGCTTATTCATCCCATCCGCATCCCTCATGTAAGTAGGATCTTGAACTGTATTTCTAACTCTGCTCTGAGTACTCTGTCGCTCCATCCTCATTTTAATAGGGAAGCAGAAGTCCCTAAAACACCGCTTGAAGTTCTCATCGAGAAAGGCGTAGAGAATGGGGTTCAGGCTGCTGTTGGTGTAACCCAAGGCAATGCAGAAGTAATAGCTGGAGAGGGCTGCTGTGCTCTGGGAGGTGCTACCCAAAGCCTCCACAAGGATGAAGATGTGAATGGGGGTCCAACAAATGATAAAGACTGCCACTACCACCAGTACCAGCCTGGTGATCCGGCGGAGGTTGCGATCCTTCTCCCGGGAGCCAGACAGGAGCCGGACACTCTTCAGGCGCAGGATCATCAGGGTGTAGCAGACGATGATGATGAGGACCGGGATCACAAAGGCGAAGACGAAGACGCAAATCTTCAAGAAGAGGTCCCACCAGGAGTAGTCATCATCTGGAAACTGCAAGGAGCACTCAATGACATCCATATCTGTAGGAGGTGACCGAAGACAAGAAAACCACAGTCCTGTTATTGTCAAAATTGTGACTGCACGCTATTGTGCGGAAAGTGCATCGAGAGAGAGAGAGAGAGAGAGAGAAAGAGAGCGCGAGAGAGAGCTTCCATTTGTTAACAAAATACACAATGTTGTATAGAGTACAAAGCTGGCTAGCAATATGATTGGTCCACTGAGAAAGCTGGTTTGATATTGTTAGCTTTCAGAAGAGCTAAACTTTGTTTATAATACATGCACATGTTTGTATTTCTGTATATTAGGCATTGTCCCACACCTGTGGCTCTGGCAAAATGAGTTAACACTTAAAAAGCAACTAATATCTATTTCTAAAAATGACTAAAATTTAAAAATCTATCCGTGGAATTTAGCAAATACTAATTTGTCTTTTAAATTAACTGTTTATATGGGTTCATAGAAATCGATAATGAAATCTGTTTAAATAAGACTCAAGTGTTGTGAATTAATGTTACCCCCCTGCTCGTTGTGATTAAAGATATTGTTGCAACATGAAGAAAATATTTAAAGGCAAATTAGAGCAAACAAAAAGAATAAGAAACTAAGTGTTTGCCTCTACTTTTCCTTAAGTGTCTATGTGAAATGATTTAAAATATCCTTTTTAAAAAGTTGGGGCTATGGGAGGGTGCCATATGGGAAGTGGGTGTACAGTTGAATAAGATGGTTTGGGATGTTCTGTGTGATACACACAGACACACAAAATCAACAAATTAAAATAAATGAATTATATTTGAGGAGGAAGCATAAAAATTTACATCATGTTAATTAGTAGAGGTGATAAACATTACCATTGAAATCTACCCAATGACTTTATAGACATACACAGGCACCAAGTATCCAAGTGCAACCGATTATGACTAGTAATAATCAGATGCATACAGATTAGAGATGCATGCACCAACATCTCAGTGTTATGAGCAAAAACAATGAGTCTTTCTGTGAAAAACAGTATATTTTAAAATGAAATGGAGATCTTTTTTAAAGGTTAAAAACTCATTCAATTTTATGTCTTGCAGGGCTTATACTGCATTCAATATTGTATCACTGTATTAATTCATACAGCAAACCTAAAAATTTTATAGCCACTTTTGAAAGAGATGTATCTTTGCTCTGGAAACTGTTAATGCGTATGTTAAAGCTGTAATGAAATGCTTCTGAAAAAAAGTCACCACCATTATCATAAAAAGAAAATATTGAAAACTTTGATGGTAGTATATTAGAAGAATCTGAGTTTGATACAACCGAGTCTGGTAAACATGTTTCTTGAGAGTGGGAAATAGTTTTAAGGAGTGGAGGGCATGCTTACTTTTGCAGCCCCCTTTCTTGTGGAACTTCTCAGCTTGGAAGTCACTTCAGAGACATTTAGCTAAAGGTTTCTTTGTTCCTCTCCCCTGAAACTTGTGCTCAATCTACACATTCTGCCCACTCTGTTTACTTCCTAGACAGATCCTCCAATCTATTACCTTTCCTAATATTTTTCTTTCTAGAATGTAAACAACTCTAGAGAAGGGATCCAGCCTTACTTATTCAATATTTGATCCCTGGCACTAGTGTGGTGCCTAGAACACATGCATAAAGAAAATAGATGGTTAAATCAATGTGTTAGCATATTCCATGTAGATATAAAACCCTTGAAAATATGTACTATTTACAGTAGTTAATATGGAACTGTCATTCACCAAACTGAGCAAAGGTGACACAGAGCTTATATAATTTGTATGTGTCATTTAACTTCAAGGATCAGCTTTTTCTTGAACAGTCATACAGGCAGTGGTAGCTTAATAAATATTTGATCAATAAGAAAAGTGATCAATGGCAGCTACTCTTACAAATCTGTCTGAAATAAACATCTGTTGAAAGCATAGGGGTACCCTCCAAAAATGTAAACTGACTAGATTTATACCATTAAAGAGAAGGTATCATGAAGAAATAGTAATCCTATCCATGATTGGTATCAAACATTCTATTTCTGATCAAAGAGGATCTATTGAGTGAATTATTTTTATAATTCCTTCATTTAAAAAAACTTGCCTTTCATCAACTACTACATGATTGTTCTTATATGTGGAATCTAGAAAAGTTGATCCTAGTGAAGTTAAAATACTGGTTATAGTCTTTGTTTTACCTTTTAGATTAATGCCATAAGTTCACAGTTCCCACAAGCACATATTCTAACATCTATGACCTCCATAATTAGAGTTAGATCCAACAGCCAAAGACTTTCTTCTGTGTTTTCTTTTTGGCTGAGAATATCTGATTTTGCTTGGAGCCACTGTGAATGATTCGTAGCTACTGTGATATTTGAATGAGCATGTCCCCCATAAACTCCAAGTATTGGAGCACTTGGTCAGCTGGTGGTGCTGTTATGGGAGGGTCATGGAGTCTCTAGGAGGTATGGCTTTGCTGGAGGAACCACATCACAGGGGTGGAGATTTGAGTGTTTACAGCCTTGCCCCACTTCCAATTTTGCTCTCTCTGCTTCCTCTGTATTTAAAAAAAGTGAGTGCTCTAGGCTTTCTGCTCCAGTCATCTCTGCTGTCATGCTTATCCATAACTCTGCAACTGTAAACCCAATAAACTCTTCTTTTTGTAAGCTCCTTGGTTATGGTATTTTCTCATAGCCATAGGAAAGTAACTAATATAGCTAATATAATAATGGAAATTGGCAGACTATAAATTATTAAATAAATAATGCACACATGTAAAGCATCTTATCAGATTCAATATTTTATAACCATCAGTAAAATTATTGCTGTATGCAAGAGGCCTCACGAATGAATGAGTATCTGATAGCTGCTGCTAAGTATATCAACAAGCCATAACCTTTGGGGATCAGGCTGTTGGGCGGTGATGCTAACATGCTGAAAAGTAATGCCAGGCAGCCCTGATGCAGTGGGGGAGATTACGTGAGTCTTAACCAGTAACGTGGGGCAGCACTCCAGAATGAATGCAGGTCGTGAAAATATAAACACAAGATCTGAATTAGAATTTTCTTAAAGCAAAAAGACAGCCTCTAATAATACTTTTAAATTTTTATCCCTTTTTTTTTTTTTTCTGTACATATTAACCTTTAGTGACATTGGTGCGTCTGGCCTTCCATCGCAGCTACACATTCACATTAGCAACATCTTCCTGGAAATACCACGTCTGTCTTCATTCCTTCTAGGATCTCATTTTCTGACAGATCAGAAGAAATGTAGTGGCTAAATCTCCAAGTGTAATATGGAATCTAGAAATCAGGGCCGTGTTTGCCTGGGAAATCTTGCCTGTCCCCTCTCATTGCTAGCCTGCTTCACACTGTCTACCTGCTGTGCAGGCTACATTGCTGCTAAATGGGACTCATGATGGTCTAACACTCAAGCCTCAGAAAAGTTCCTTGAAATTTACTTTTACTTAATGTAGCATGATGAAACAACTTCCTATATGTGATTAACTGCCTTTTACAATGCTTGTCTGGTAAATGAGCATTTGCTAAAACTTGCCAAGTGTAATAGCTTATCACTTGCTGTCACTATGCTGGGAATTCACCTCAGTGTTTCACAGGACAGCATCACCCTTCATTTGAAAGAAGGTTAAGCGTCATTATATATAATTTGAAAAGTTGTAGAGAATGCAACACCAAGAGTGACCCCTGATATAAGCTATTGAGTTTGAGTGACGACCTATTAATTCAGGCTTGGCTGTCACAAACGGTAGAGGTGTTGATAACGATGGCTGTGCATGTGTGGTCAGAGGAGATAAACTGAAACTCCCTTACTCTCCATTTCATTTTTCTGCGAAGCTAAAACTTCCCTGAAAGGAACTGTCCAAACTGAACACAAATAAGCTATGCACATACCACATTAGATAAGTAATGCTTTTAGCACCCGTCCTCTCTCTGTGGCCTGGGAAGACCTTGCTACACATATTCACGGAAATTGCAAAGCTCCCTAGTATGTAAGCTGGAGCTTTAGATAACATTTCTCAGTTCAAAGTGGTTGTTCAACTACCTTCCTCTAGGCAATTTCTGCTAAGTTCAAATATGTTTTCCATAGCTTCATTTTGAAGAAAAAGCAAAACTCTTGAGACAGTAGTTCTCACCTTGGGTGCAGGTCAGGCTCACCTCAGTCACTCTTCAGCTCAATTAAACCAACTCTCCAAGGTGAGACTCTTGGAGAGGCAGCAGTGTGTTCTAAAGTACCCAGAAAACTTCATTCCTCAGCCCAGTGTGAGAAATTAAGGGAAAGCATAATTATTCTGTTTGCAGACCTTTAGGTACCATCTTCCTGTGAACCTGATTGTGAACTGGGGGATGGCCTTGAAGAAGGAAGGGAAATGAACCAACACGTCTCTAATGATTTAGTCCCCTCTTAGCAAGAAAGAGGAGATAAGTGTGTCCTGGAATCACCAGGTTGCATTTTCAAAGCCCTCACACCCATGGTTCTTCCTTCACCCTCACCCTTCCAGATTCTTTCTTTTTATTCAGAAGTAAGAGGAATACGCAGAGTGTACTCTGATGGCAAGCAGAAGGCTGCATGCTCACGTGCCCGCTTCCTTTATTGTCCTAACTACCTTCTGAAATACTGTCAGGATCATTCATGACCACTTTTTGGCTGGTCTTCCACCTTGTTAGTTAAAGCACAAATGTCTGAGTTCTATTTCTCGACATGTGTTCTATACAATTATAATCTCAATTTTAGTCTCTCAAAATCTTCTGTGAACAAATAAGGGAAGAAGACAAAAGAATGGAAGCCAGGGCATACAGCAATCTCATCCTGAAATCTGTGCCCCCAGATTTAGCAAGCGCCTCCAGAATCAGAGGCCAGGGACATCCATGTTCTGCTGGGTGTCCCCCCACTTTGTGTTCAGAGCTAAAAGGAACACAAAATTATTTTTTAGTTTTCCATGGTTTTAGGCATTATATTTCTTTTTTTCTTTTTGATTTCCCACAGATATGCATTTTATTCATTTCTAAGGTAAAATTTATCTAATAAGTAGTTCTGTTTCTATAAGTGACATGAAAACAACGGCTCTTACCTTCCCTGACTTTGGTGCCTCCCAGGACTATTGCTGAAATGCCAACTGATGATGACAGGAGCCAAATACAGATATTGATGATCTTGGCCTTCAAAGGTGTACGGAAGTCCAAAGCCTTGACAGGATGGCACACAGCAATATAGCGGTCCACACTCATCATGGTCAAGGTGAATATGCTGGTGAACATGTTGTAGTAGTCAATGGAGATGACAATCTTGCACAGAACATCCCCAAACGGCCAGGAGTTCATCAGGTAGACAGTGCTCTGGAAGGGCATGGTGGTAGTAACCAAGGCATCTGCCAAAGCCAGGTTAAATATATAGATGTTGGTTGCCGTCTTCATCTTTGTGTATCTAAAAGATAAGCAATAGAATTTCCTTCCGGTTTTTCAGTTTAAATCCATGGAGTGAACGCTTGTGACTGCCACTGGGTTACTAATTTTGCTTATGCATTTACTTAGTCTTTTCTTTTTATAAATGTATTGAATTTTTTGTGTATTTCATGCATAAAATCAACTTTATGCCCCCTCCCCCCTTCCCCTTTGGCACCCTCCCACAGCCCCCCTGCCCCACTGGAGTTCATACACTCTGTCATTTGTATTGAGGCCTATTATGTAAAGTTACTGCCCCAAGATTTCCCTCAGTGCAAGCCCATCCACCAGGGTTTAGTCAGCCTATCTAGAGTCTCTCCCTTCAAGAAGATCAGCTCTTCCTCACCCAGCAATAATCAGCTGCCAATAATTCTTCGACTAACAGTGGGGTTTGCTGTTCATTTCCACAGTTCTGTGCTGGATTTTTGTCTGCCTAAGTTTGCATGGGTCTTGTACATGCTGACAGCATTGCTGTGGGTTTGTATGAGAAGGGTTCCAGGTGCCTGTAGGACTATTTCCATATGGTCAGGCACCTCCTCCCTGGCTATTACAATATTTCTGTCCCCTCTTCTGAAATGGTCTCTGAACCCCCAGGTGCGTGAACCTCAATATAGGAGTCCTATCCAAGGACTCACACTGTGCAGACTCTTACTTTCTGTATATTGGCCATTTGTGGCCTCTTGTGTTCCTGGCCCTCTGTTGTATGAGGGAGCATCATTGATGAGAACTGAAAGATGCATTAGTGTTCTCTTCATCCCTTGTTCTATGTTCC